TTGATTTGGCCCCAGAGAACTTCCGTAATAACTTTTCGTCAATATGAATGCTGCAAGTTAAATGTTAGTACAGACGAATTGGAGAGATAGATGTAAGCGCTAAGAGAATTTGGTGGATTTTCAATTTTTATAAAAGCGTCCGGCGTTACTTTAATTTTGGCTGATAAGTTTTTCATCAAATCTCGAACCGTTTTCCTCGATAGCTAACCCAACCAGGTCAGTCGCGAGTAACTTAAACAAGCAAAAGAAACAATAAATAAAGGTGTATTATATACCATTGTCGACGTATTAGTCGATCCAATATCGTTAATGAAAAATCTCACAGGGAACAAAGAATAAGTAAATGGTTGGCCTCTATTGCAAAACCAGCTTTCGTTCCGAAATATTGATCCAATCATATTATTCAATTATAAAATAATACACTGAGAAAAATCATAGTAAGTTCTATTATAATGCTCGCGTTTAAAATTTATTTAATAAAAAAACCTTTGATAAATTCTATAGTTTTCAATTTAAAAATTATTTATGCTTTATAGATGACAAACATCAGTCTAGTTTTTATATATTCAAAAAAATGTTTAAAGTAAATAAATAAAAAATAGTGTTTTTTTTTATTAATTTGATTTTAATTATCAACATTTCATTAATTATACTGTCCAACAATAAAAAAGGAATTTTCAGTTTTGATCGCAAAAGATAGGTAACCTTAAAAGCTTGAATACATTCGAAATTAAAAAATAAAAGTAATATATCAAAAACAATAACTTATTGAACAATTTTAAACTCATTTTCGGAATCAAAAATTCCGAAATGCATAAAAATTACCATTGAAAACTGTTTTCTATTGGGAAATGCTCTTAATAATTTAATAACTATACAGGGTGATTTTTTTATCATAACCCACTTAATTACTTATAGAATAATAATAATTTAAAAAATTTTTTTTATTATTATCTTTAGTTACACATTATTCTTGAATTATTAACTATGTAATACTTGATAGTAAGGTACATTATTGTGAGTTTATAAATACACTAACTGACAATACAAAAAGTATATCTATTGATAGTCATAATTGATAATAAACAATCCGTGACTGTGATAGCAATATCATAAAAAACCAATTAGCTACCTGTATTTGTAATCGCTTGTGTATTATACCTATATATTAACTTAAAAATTTGAAACTTTAAATGTTTATATCTAATAAACAAATTAAGTTTTATTAAAAATTCAAATTCCATTTACTATTAAATTAATAACTCAAACATTTTATTAAATTAAAAATATGTGTTACCATTTAAAAAAACAAAGTTGACACCCTTACCAGGCATAAGGGATGAACTTAAAAAGTATTACATAGTTAATAATTCAAGAATAATGTGTAACTAAAGATAATAATAAAAAAATTTTTTTTAATTATTATTATTCTATAAGTAATTGAGTGGGTTATGATAAAAAAATCACTCTGTATTGTTAATCAACTTATGTAATGATTACTATTACATTAGTGTCTTTGAATAAAAATATATTATCTGGGTAAACAGACAGCGCTATACAATCCTATTAATTTGTTTGTTTTTATAGTCAATATTCCAAATACTTAAATATAAAATACGACTAATATAAAATATTAAAATGATATTTGATAATTTTATTTTATTTATGAACAAAATTTGTTCTTTTTATATATTGTATATATTTCTTATATATTTTTGTATATTTTTTCTGAAAATATTAATATTAACAAATTAAAGGCATTTAAAATATGTTTAAATCATGTTTGAAATGTTTAAAGATAAATGAATTGTTAAAGGAAAAATCTGTGCTCTATTATTTAAAAGTACGCTCTTATCATACAATTTTACTATTATAAGTTACCTATTATTAAATTTGAAACTAACAAGAGAACTTCAAAAAATCTTTAGATTGTTTCAATTTTTTTCTCCAAGCAGAGCATTTTAAAAACATCTTAAACGGACACAAATATGATTGAGTGACAGTATACGATAAACTACTAAGATAGTGAAATTGTGAACCATAATTTCTTTCATAGAATCAAATAGTTTTACGAGGTTTATAAATTCCATTATTTCATAACCGTTCAGCTTTGTTACGTAGTATTATTTATTGTTATAGTCTGGTCATTATTTTAAATATTTTCTTTTGAGAAATATGTGTATTACTATATTGAACATAGATTTTATCTACATTTATTTCACAAGAGTCAAGTATAAAAATAACATTAGTGAAGCATACTTTTTTATTTCCTTTAAATTTATTATAACTCGTAGAATATATTAGGATATTGCCAAACATGTTAGATAAAATTTCAAACTGAACTGTTAACTCAATTAAATTTATAAAAGCGTAAAATTCATACTTTTTATTTTAGATGAATGAATGTAACCAAGATATTAATTTAAATATATTATTTTATACTACAGAAATAGAATATTTGCGCTATTTGCAATTTTCATTTACAGTTTTTGATTGTAATAGAAAGTAAACATGAAATCTAAGATACGATCGTAGTGTTATGAGTACAGAAATGTATTAATTTGCATACTCATAGTGCCTTTTATTTGAAATAAAGTATCATCTGACATTAACAGCTGACATTTGGCTTATAAAAGTGTTTATTTTATTGAAATTAATTTTAGTCAGGAATTATTAATCTTAGTAGTATTTGCATTTGTTAAATCTCAGTTTTTAATTTATGTAATTGTACTTGCTGTTATTATTAAAGATGAAAATTATAAATGTGCTAACGAATCGGTGGTAACTTCAATGACAGTAAAATATTAAAAAGTAAAGATAAGTTTCTCTTTAGTGCATAAGATCACTTTAATCGTTTTGAACTATTTCTATTTTAGATATTCAAAATTGTACGGTAAACTCAATTACACGAATTTTATCATAACGAAAACGAGAGGATAAATGACTGACAAGAAAAAAATGTTCAAGGTATTTTTTAGAGTATTAAAAAAATTTACATCTATGTTATATTAAACCCTTATATTTTACGAACTATGAACACAATGTATAATAAATGGTTAAGTTTATTATGTTTGACATAAAAACCTAAATACGAACATAAAAATGTCACAAAATATGCTGATGAGGCTTTTATAAAAGATGTTAAAGTTGGAAGGTTTTTTGTGGATTCGATGTTACTTAAGACTTCAAACAGGATTAAAACAGCTAACCTGGGTTCCTTCGAACTCGGAGTATTAAATGTTAATACAAAAAATTGTTTTTTTTTAATAATATATATATATATATATATATATATTTACGGTTTAAAATAAATTGAAATATTTTATAGTAAGAAATATTTACTGCAGATTTGTAGTAAAGTAAAAATCAATGTATAGTACAGATAAAAATTAAAATGACATTATTATAAATGATGATTATTATACCACAAATGAATGATTCTAATAATCCTTGATATTTAAATTGTTTAATAATTTTTTCGCAAAATCATGTATGTCATAGGTACTGCTTGAAAGAATCATGAATTTTAAAAATTATCGTTTGTAACAAACGTATTTTTAGTTCTCAAAAATAAAAAACAAATTTATTAAAGTATAATTTATTTTATGACATTTTTTTAGGTATTAATAATTGTTTGTAATGTTTCGTTATTTTTTTTATAGTTAACTTTTTAAAAAAATACTTGTTTTATTTACTGGTATTAATACTTTTGTTATAATATGATATCTGTAAGGATTAACATCAATTACTTAAAGTATTCATGAAATCGGTAAACAATACCTTGATTATACATTGTGAACAAAAAAACCCTTGACTATGTATTTAATTATATGTCGATGAATAAAATACAAATTTATCGAATTTTAATCACGAGAAAAGAAATTTTGAAATATGGCAATTGTAAGGGGCCAATTTTGGTTATTGACACCTCAGTAATAGTCTCATAAAAGCTACGGATAGAGAGTAATTGTTTCACAACAATTGTCAAGAGGGTATTCAAGACACGTATGAAATGGAAATGACAGGTGTCACCTATGGGTTTACAAATAAAAATAATGATATTACTTTATATCATATCTTTTAGGCACAATAAGATAATACTGTCAATAATTATTATAATTATTTGATAACAAAAGAAACAAGAGGTATAGATTTTTAAGGTGTAGAATAATCAGTAGAGAAAATTATATACATGTAAGTAATGAAATCGGTGTCCGTTTTATTTCGCATAAACAACGGAGTGTAATAATACTTGCACTAAAATTGATAAATACTTCAGATATTAAATAAATTCACTTCAAAATAAAAACGCAAAAAACATTTTTACAACTAAGAACAATTGAAATCAATGCGATTAAATATAATATAAAAAAGATGTGTTTGGTGTAAGACATATTGCAAAGCAAAGTTGTTCATTTAGGATAACAGAAGTTGACAACACTCGATATTATAATGTCGCATGGCATGGAAAATGTAACTTGTACATCTTATTATGATATGGTAGGGTGATGTTTATATAATAGTTTTATTATAATAGTATAAGACAAAAATCGCACAAGACAGCGATTAAATGGAAAAGTTGAATTTATCAAAAAAAAAAAAAAATTTTTTTTTTTACTAAAAAGTTAACTCATATGGGTGTTGAAACTCGAGGCCCAACGAAAAACTGTAATATCATTATAATATGTTGTGTCATCGTACGCAAGGTTCATAAAAAAACCCTATCATAGTATTCGCACATGAAATAATATAAGGATCCTTGGGTAATATAATAATTTATCTTCAGACTTCAACCCAAAAGACACTTAATATACACAATGTGTGTGATGGATGAAGACAACTCATACTGGTATATTGTCTATTGAATGCTCCAAGTTGTTCTCATGAGGCTAAACAACAATACGTTATCCAACTATTTATTCGGTGTACAATTTTTTTTTTTTTTAAACAATTCTAATTTTCCAATACATTGATGAATTATTTCTAAAATAAAGACTTACGCGAACAGTAAGGAGGCTCATCAGACTTGTCTCCGCAATCGTCGTACCCATTGCAGAATTTATCTAGGGGCACACAGTATCCCGTCTCGCACATGAACTCAGAAAGTTGACAACAAGAACCGGAGTTGGCAAACATCACAAGTATGGCCAACCCCACGAAAATTGTCGGCCCATTCATTTGTGTGAACTCTGAAAACAATATTTTTTCATTAATTTTTGTACTGATAAATGAGTATTTGATGATTCGTAGAAGAATTGTTAAATGTTGTATGGTTAAATTTTTTTTTTCTTCTTATTAATCAATCATTGGCTAATATGTCTAGAGCAAAAAATCATTTTTTCTGTAAATGCTACTTAAAATTTTTCAATCGATGACTAATGAGTTTTTGGTGTTCAAACAACAAATTTTTTTTTCTTTTAAATATCATAACATATTTAAAAAACGAATAAAATTTATTCAATTATATGTTCAATAATTTAATTAGTTAGATTGAAAGTAACATTATATTTGATAAAGTTTTTATAATTTAATTTGCAGCGTTGATCACTCCATGAAAGGTTTAAAAAAGTGAAAACTTTGAGTTAATTAAAATAATATAGAAATACCAATGGATCCATTGTTGGAGTAATAGAGGATATCTAAAAAAATGTATATTCCTAAATATTTGACCCAAAATAAAGAATTAATTTCGATGTCAGCGCTCAGATAAATTAATCAGTATTGTGTTTATCTCAGACCACATCAATTAGAGTTGAATCATTGTCAACCGAGAAATAGTCACAGAGCGTGGAACACGTTCCTTAATCATTTTGCTCGTTAATAACGATAAGAAAAATATATGAGAATACCAAAATGAATGGGATAGTACTTAAGTGTTTTTTTTAATTGGCTGGATCAAATATACCAAATATTACGTTGATTTTTAATTATATATATAAATGATTGAAAATAATTATTAAGGGATAAAAAAATTTATTTTATAATTTAATTAAATTTATTATGTACGCAATTTTTTTTTATGTATTCAAATTACTTTGCTATAAACTAAAGTCGTGTGAACTTTACCTCAATCAAATGTCATTGGACAAATAAAAAATCCTAACATCTCCGAGGAGGAATTATGTTTGTTCTAAAAAGGTTTAAGGTCATTAAAAAACGATAATACTTAGTACGAGTGCATAAATGATTAATAAATAAATAAAATACACTTAATATCATTAAGCTTTCTAATTTAGTATTAACTAGAAAAATCGATACAAAAATTTATTACTGCCTGAAGTGAATGGCTCAACAGCTGGGTACTCGAATATAAAACAAAATACAAAACCTATTTATATTCGACGTTGTAGTGGTAAAATAAAGGCTAATTCCTTGCGTGATTCATTGAACAATCTTTGGGGAAGGGAAATGTGTGTGGTACAAGAATGAAGGTACCTTCGCAAATCCTTTGATTACCTGTACGCTTTTGAGAGAAGTTAAATTTTCATGTTACACCGACAGAATTGATTTCATTTGTCTTTCCATCGAAGCTGACAAATATCTCGTATGTGGAAATTAATGGATTTCCTTTGAAATTTCCATCTATTTTGGTTAGTTTAACGGTTTTAGGTGAATCGAATTAAACCGTGAAAAATGAAACCGAATTTTTATTCCTTTTTCATTTTTGAATAACAAATTCTGTTATTTACATCTAATTTATAGTTTTTTAAGAATTAATTATTTATTAAACTATAATATGATTATAAAAAATGTTCTTTATTATTTTTTTATCATACTATATTTAAAAAAAAAATATTCAAAATTTTTATAAAATAATTTAATTCAAAACTCTTTTTTGAGAATTATAGGCTTATGTAAAATAATTTAATAAAATACGCTCAACAATTTGAATTAGAATAATTTCACAATACACGTAACAGTCAATTTATATTATTTAATGAAATTTGTTCCTAAAAATAGCTGAAATTACACTTCGTATTGACACGACTTTTAACTATCTTATATAAAATCAACTTTAATGTTTTGCAAAGTATTTAAAACTTTGAAATTAATGTAGCTCATAGATGAGATAAATTTTTATTATTATTTTTCATAATATTACTATACCGTAGTATTTTTATACTTTTGGATTAAGTTCAGATGGTAGTGATTTTATCTTTAAATTAATTTTTAAAATAATTAAAATTTTTTTTTATTCTAGCTTACTCAATTATAAAATTATGAATCGCTCTTCCTATAATGTTATTTTATTGAATGGTCATAAACAATAATTAATAAATATCTTAAATTTTTTATCCAAGCACGTATGTTCTTAATACCTTAATTTAAAAATGAACTTATATCAAACTTAATCGATCTGATAATTAGCAGTTCATATAAGTATATATATTTAAATTTAAGGACTGTAAATGTAATAGCTTAATTTAATCATGATGGAATAACAAAGAGCAAACGAATTAGGTATACAGATGTTTATATTGTTTTAAAAGTTTTGTGATTAATACAATAGCAAGCCAATGAGTGCGCACGAGAGTCTTTATGGAATAATCTAAACTTAGTAACACACTAACATATAAATGGTTTTTTTTATATTTCTCTTATACTCGATTGCAATGATTTTACTATTTTGTTGGTTATCTAATGGTTGAAACTTAACAATAGTTCAAAATAAAATTTAAAAGGTACTATCTAACATTTACATGTCCATAAAACTTGACAATTTTTGAAAAGAGTAATAGATGTATGAAAAATTTTATTCGAACTTTTACTGTATTGTTTTAGAAGATATTACTAATAAAGCATGATATTGAAAAACTTTTTTAATAACAAATAATATAATATTTTCTTTAATAACTCTATACTTGAGCACAGATCACGATGTGAACATTATTTAATTTCATTTACTCTATGATTGTTCTATGAGAGTACATTTTTCTGTATTAAATATATTTTCTGAAGTTTTTCTAATTGTCTCTTAGAAGAATTATAGTGCATAATATATTTTAATCAGATGGAACCAAAAACTTTATTCTGCAGGAAATTATTTTAATTTTGCATATTCCTTTTACCGTTTGTAAAACGTCTGATTCGACGCTCGAGAAATTATAACGGAATAAATTATAATAATAATTATAAAATTGTCGTTGTTTTTAGGTTTTTACGAAAAACTTTTTTCTCGTTTATATTTCTTTTGGCTAATTCTCAAGGCTTTAATAACAAATACAATTATGGTTAGTATATATAGGTGTATTTATAATTTCGAAACTAGACTGCGTAGCCAACAGACACTACACTTATTCTTTTAAAAATATAAATTTGCGTTTTAAAAAAAATGTCCTCACTTTCAATAAATGCTAAATTATTTATTTATTTTAATATTTTAAAAAATTGCACTAGACGTATTTTAATTGATATTATAATTTAATGAAGTTCAAATCATTAATGTTTTTGGTCGAGTACAATTTTTATCATTATCTGATTCATATTCTATGAAAATAATAATAATAATGTACGACTTACAGTAGGTGTAATATTATATCTTTTATTAGCCTACGGGTGTTAAAGCAACGTAATGAAAATACCAACAAAACACTATGATCATTTTTTTCATTATTCTTAAAGCTTTTGTAACTTTTGATCACATTGATTCTAGCTTTATTAGACATAGAGCTTAAATAACTGAAATATGAACAAGTATTTGCTTTTAAATAAAAAAAGAATGAGAAGAATGTATATTAAATTTTTTTCATTTTTCCTTTTGTTTAATTTATAAATAATACAATCATTAAAGGCTATTGCGCAAATCCTGAAATTTCTTACAACATTAAAGTAAACGATTAAAAAATTACATTTTTAATTAGGCTAATAACCTTATATTATTTTCGAGTCACAATTTCGTATAATATCGACTCTACACAGCAATAAAAATATAAGATATCTATTCACTAAAAATACACCGCGGTATAATTTTCTGTTTTAAATCGAACGAGGTCCAAAACTATATTTTTTTGTTGTCGTCCGTCGACAGTGCGCGAATTTCGTTGGGTTCATCTTTTGCTAATGCTTTCAACACTATATCGTTACTGTCTGGGCGACGTGACGTATGTTTGTAGGTGAACAAGTAATTAATGCGTTGAATTAAAGGCATATGGCATTTCCGTTGTACTTGCAATGTCTGCACGGTTAATGACAAAACATTATGAATACCAAAACGCACGTTGAACGGCAACTCCAACTTGTTTCTGGCAAACTTGCAACAGTAGCGCACAAAGACAATACAACGAGCTACGTTTTACCTCTAGTTCTAAATTGAACATCAGTAACGCGACTTATAAATTATCAAAGTTGTCATCGCTGTGTGTTGTACCCGATGTTTAGGAGGTTTACACGCACAGTGCGCGTTTCAAAGGTATAGGCTTTGTGAAAACAAATCACAATTAAAACCGACACAACTCCCCACGTGTGTGTACATCATACCGCGTGAGGCCATTTCCGCGTGTACAAGGCGTTATCTACTAGTGGCCCTGCTGGAGCTTTATTATGAATAATACAGTAATTACAAAAGAGACGGGTAAAATGAAAAATTTATCCTTACGCATGCCATACGTCTGGCAACTCGGCGGTACCGAGTGATAAAACTAATATTAAGTGGAAGCACTCCATGTAATTAATAACAACAATATGAGTTTTATTCTTTGCACGCGCAATAAAACATATTATTACCGGTGAGTAAACGACTATGTGTTTTTTAATAATTCAACGTTCGGCTACGGTGAATTTTCATTATTATAATATACACGAGAATCTTTGTGAATATACAGTACAACGAAACGCTGCTCTAGAGACGGTTGGCCTCCCGACGACAATGACAATGATCCATTGGCTTGGCTTCTCACGCCCAACGCGGTGCCGGAATAGAACTTGTCGGATCTCTGGACCTCATAAGCTTCAACTGCGCACTAAAAACCATTGGGTCTATCGGGGTAAGCCGCAAAAAATTTACAATGGCAATAAAAATGATAAACTTGGATGATGGGCCGTAAAGTAAAACAAATGACCGCCTTATTTTTATTCTGTTTTTTACTCGGTTAAAATACTATTTTGGATATAAGGGTTCGAACCGAGTGCAAAAACGAGGAAACTGCTATTCAATGCCATACGATATTATTCATTAGACAACGCTCTTCCA